ATTTTTATATCCGGAGTATAAAACACACTAGTAAATTTCAATCTCATTTTTGGTATTAAAAGTGTGCATTATACCCTGGAACATAAGATAAATTAAAGATAAAAAGGAAAAATTAAATATAAAGCAAAGATAAGTAAAAAGGCAACACTCAATTTTTCCTTTTCCCATTTTAGGCTATAAGACTTCCATTTTCATATTTCCTCATTTAATTCTTAAAATTTTTTTTAGAAATTCTGTTTATTCTTTCATTAGAAATTTATTTAATACATTGCATTTAATTACCAAATGCTTTTTCTGATTTCGTATCGAATGTTCATTTAACGTTTATTTTCAAGTATTTATTTTCGGGTTGTTGGAGCAGATTATAATTATGATGATTAATTGCATATATTACAACACTTTAAAAAATAAACTTTGTTCAAGCACTTTGATTACGTTAATTATATAATCTTAACTGACACTTTTTTTAAAAAATTTTCTGAAATGTTTCAAGAATTTGCAGTCATCTAGATATAAGTTAGAAACATGGCTCTGTTGAAAATTCTTCAGCTGCTCCTTCAAAAAGACCATGAGATTTTCAATAATTGTATACTTTATATATTATGTATATTATATAAATTTATTATGTTTTATTAATTTTAATGAATTGGTTTTGTTTCAATTTTCAATTTTTTATTTTAATATTTCCTGTTGGATTTTTACACTTTTATGATTTAATTATCATCTCCTGATTATTACATTGTATAGAATATACAAGCTTCCTTCCCCCCTTTTTTACGAACACTACCTCACAGCCACCTGTAGCTCAATCTATCAGCTGAATTGCTGCCAAATTTGGTAAGAAGACTAATGACGACATGGAAGAAACTAATTCAGAAGTCAAACAACAAAAATCAGTGTTATATTTACAAAATTTTCACAGGCCTAGTTTTGATGGTTTTACCGAACCACCATCCTCAGCTGCGAAACCGCTAGTATTTATTCGGCGTGTTATTGGGTCTTAATTATGGAAGAAACTATTATGTGAAGCAAAATTAGTTCCAAAAGTTGCCTATATGCAAAATTGTGGCACTGTTCTAGTCTACACAATTAAATTTTGCTTGGAATACAAGTACAATTTTTTAAATGCAAATGCTCAGTTATGTAAATGACAGCAGCATCCCTAATTCAGTCCACAAAAATAGACACTGTAGAACATTCCAAATTTTAGTTGGGTTCAATATGTGTTAAATTTATCTCAGCTCTCGTTACTTGTGAAGTTACTTTAACTTTCAATCAAATGCAGTTGGTGCTCCTCATAAGCTTAGAAGTGATAACAACCTACATATCAGAGACGGAGTACATCGAGATGAAATACTACATTTAGTAAGGAATTATAAGCTGAATAAAATAAAAACATTTGACCTCAAAATAAGGATAGTGCTGACAGATCAACTTCCAATTAATCGTGCGCCGCGATGTCCCCCCCCATCCCACCACAGAGCAGCGTGAAATTGATAAACAGATTTCGGAATGGTTAGAGAAACAAAGGATATGCCTTTATCCATTTTTTGCAGCAATTCCACTTTTTGTTTGATGGAGATTGAAACATGCTTTTGCTTTGTAGATCCTTTGGCATCTCCAGAATCAGAAATTCCTTTTGACATAATCGAAAGTTCAAGCTTACTTTTATAAAACTGCTCTAACAGTCTGCAAAAAATAATAAGGCGGATCCAAATAGAAGATCAAGGAACAACACAATCTGCAATATTAACTGAAATAGATAATTAGATAATTTTAGCTTAGCTTATACCGTCCGTTATATGTTAAACGCACATGCGTAAACGCATTATGCTTTCGCGTAAACACATATGCACATGCATAAAGGTATTATGCACATGCGTCAATGCATAATGCGTTTACGCATGTGAAGAAAGTTTGTAGCTTTGAGGTCCGGATTATAGATCATTCCAGATTATGGACGTCCAGATTAAAGACTTTTGACTGTACTTATATTTAAGAAACTGTTATACACATTAAAAAATAAAAAAACAAAACATTTGACTCTGATACACCATATGGTTTGCTTACATTGCATACATTAAGCTTAAATTAGGTTTAAGGGGGGGAATTAGGATAATTTTAAATTTAAGCCAAAAATTTCAAATATATCTTACTTTAATTGCAATTTTCTTATTTTATCATTTTCATCATTTGTTTTTATTCTTTTGAAGATGAGAACTACAACATTAATACTTCATATTTTTATTAAAGGTCTTCTGTTAGCAAACAAAGATATTGCTGGTTGAAATTGCTCAGCCTATTTCAAAACAATTTGTTTTGCAAAAATTTGAGTTATTCTTTTTATTTTTTAAGTTTACTTCATAAAATTTCTTCCAATTCACAAATGATTTTCAACCATTTTTGGTTGGGATGCATAAAGGCTTCTTTCTTTCTACAATTTTTATTCAATTGGGTAGCACTTCAGTACTGGCAAATAAATCCAAAAGTTCATTATTTTCTTTTCAACTAAAGATAGGGCAATTTTTTTTTTTTTTTTTAGTGCAATGTATCCAGTAACATAAGTGCAATGCTGGGTAGGATAGTGGATTATTAAATACTGTAGAACTCTTTGCATTTATTGTTAACTGTTCCGAGTTCTTCATTTCCTCTTTCATGCAAACAAAAATATTTGTGAATTGAGAAGATAATTGCATATTCATAATTTTATGGATTTTCACATTTTATAACCAAAACTAACATAAACAAAAGACTCACCTGGCCTTTTTCATTAGCTTTAATTAACAAAACACAATTAAGATAAAACATTACAATTAAGGGTGCTATAATTACACATTTAAGTTACAAAGTAAATCTTGGGGAACAACATGCTTAGTTCTTAACTCCAGTACATCGACTGAAGGTTATAGGTCTTTTTTTGGCTGGTGTTTTTCCCAGTGGCAGCTAGGTGGCGCTCATTGAGCCGTGGGGCTAATTTTACATTTTGATTTTTTTTTTTTTTTTTTTTTTTTTTTTTTTTTTTTTTTTTTTTAAGAATTTTCCAAAGGACTTTGCAATTATAAGAAACTTTAATCTGTTGGTATTATCTATAGCAGTTGGATGATCATAAGTGTGACCAATGCTGCGAATTTAACTCAAAAACTTTTTTAGAATTCCTTGATTTAACGTACAAGTCAAAAGATGGTAAGCTGATAGAATTTTCATATGCATAATTCATAAGTTTTCAGCATTAAAAATATGTTATTCTTGTTATAATCTAATAAACACAGAAAAAATTCATGAAACTAGAAATACTTTTCTTTTTTAATTTTTATAAATAATGTTACAAATTGTCTATGTCTCAGTACTGAAACCTGCCACTGTTTTCTAGAACCCAGATTCTATGATTCTGTTAGCAAAATCTTACAAAATTATATTTATCAATACTTTTCATGACATTCAGCAAAGAAATACTTGTAACTTAATCTATTAACATCAGAAACCTTTCTCTAAACTGATGTTTTACTTTTAATTATAAACAAATGCAAACATTTCTCTCTTTAATTTGCATATAATATTCAGATATAATATCCAAATTAAAAATTAAATATCTCAAATGATTTTTGTCATATGATAGCCATTCTCTTTGTATTTAATTTTTTTATAAAATTTTCCTAAATATACGTACAGGGACTAGGAGAATGTGTAAAAGTCAGATGCTCTAACTTTTACACAATTATTATTTATTTTTTTTAATTTAAAAAATGTCAAAACATAAAAGTTTTGTCATTTGAAACATTTCTGTAATTGGAAATATGAGTATGATAAATGGCTGTGAAAATAAAAGCTAGATAAAGACTATGTGAACATGATGGGTGTGTGTGTATTAAAAAAATAATTAACTTCACACTTTATTGGGGAAAAAAAAAAAAAAAAAACCCTCTCACTTGGTATTACACTGCATATTTGCGCTACACTAAAAAGCCAATTAATTATCCATAATGGCCAACAATATTTGGCATATATATAAACTAACTAGAACTTGGATCATCCCAGTTAATTCATATACTAAGAAATCTATTGCATTTGTAACAAGAATTCTTTAAAGGTAATTAATAAACACTCAATGCAAAAATTCAAAAATCATGCAAAAGATTTTTTTAAAAATTTATGCACAAGAAGTTATATAATTAGCCAGTTTTGCAGCGATTGTTCATCATATCCAAGTCAAAATAGTATTCCTTCATGCTAATTTAAGAACACTAAAAAAGTTACATAAAATTTTCTAAGTACTGTTTTATATTTAATACTTTGTGAATATTTCTAAATAACACATACCTCATTATTCCTTGGCATAATGTGCAATGCAAAATACATTAGAAAATTAGAAATAATTTCATATAAGTCAACAAAATATTATAAAATATAATTATTACACATAGATATCCATGTTTGTTATTTTGTGTATTTTTTTGCTTTATATCATAAAAGATAATATTATATATATAATCATAATAATGCAAATAATGATAAGTATGGAAATTTCATTAATTTCCAACAATAGAAATATTTGCTATATTAATCTATCATAATTCACTTTAAAAGTACAGTTTCTTAAGAAATTACTACTGCCTCTTTAATAACATGTTTTTTAATACAAAATCTACATGGTGAGTCAGAAATATGGCTACATATTTGAAATAAACATGAGTTATGGTTTACAGTAGAAGGACATGGTGAATAGCATATTAACTACAAAACATTTTTTTTCCAACAGCGTCAGGCAATAGATTTCATTTGTATTGATATGGTTCTTCAATTTGAAAACTTGACAAATCTGGCACTAATTAAACTTGACTAATAATGACATTATATCGCTTCCCATAACCATGATAATGTAATCACATGATACAATCAATTGAATAGCTGTATTTGTCACTCATCCTGAACTTCCACAAAATTAAACATGACATGGTTTATTTTATACCACTATTTCAAGTATTTTGCATTTATTTATTTACCTGTAGCCTGAGAAGATGAAAGTACTGTGCAGGTGTTGTAGGATTTGCTATATGCCAGTTCACATCATCTGCATCAATATGATCTTCTTGACTATCAGACATCTTGAAAATCATTATTTATATATATAATAAATTATTTTAAAAATTAGCATTTAGAATTTATAGCAGATGAATTTTGCAATAGTTAAAAAATTACAATTAAATTAATGTATAGTATAAAACACATGATAATTCATTAATAAAAAAGCATATTCAATTGCTTTAAGTTTAGAATGCAGTATTAACTTTGAATTGAAAAATTAGACCAAATAAAACATTTTTATAAATATCCTTATATGTGCTAATATGTGCAGTATAAAAAACATAGTTTATTGCTATTGACTTTCATAAACATAAAAATTCAAAACCCTGCAATTTTCCTGATTTGTGATGATGACTTGCAGCATTATAAAACACACTTTTACAGGCGGTCAAATGAAAAGCTACCGCTCTTCATTAAAAAAAAAAAAAAAAAAAAAAAAAAACTAAACACTTCTTATCAAATACTAAAAATCTAAAACACATAATATCAATAAACATAATCAACAATAATCCCCAAGTCTAAGTCATAAGTCTAGAGATTGAAAAAAAATCTTTCCTAAACAAAATTGCTTTTTATATCAAATATGTAAATTTTTTATTTATTCCAAATATAATGTAACACATTCACTGCCAGTAAAAACTGATATATCCATCCTCAGAAGCCGAATTACAAAATAGTGTTTTAATGATTAAAAACGTTCCTCATACACTCTATAACAACAACAACAAAAAAAAAAAAAAAAAAAAAAAAAAAAAAAATGAATGTACCAAGAAGAAATTATCCGATTACTTTGAAATTTCTTATGCATAAATGCTTTGACCAAATATACAAATGATAAAAATTTGGATCCCAATGAATGAATAGTTCGATTTCCAGTGCATCGGAACCATGCATCCAGCAAAATGCTCATTATGAGCAACTGTCAGAGTTTGAAAGAGGTTGTATCATTGGATTGAAAGAGGCAGGTTGGGCAGGATCGCTCGTCATATGAGTTGAAGCAATGTGGTGATTAGAAGATGCTTGCAAGAATGGGTACACAATGGCACATTTCAGCATCATGTTGATAACAGTCGACCTAGTGCCATAGCAGATTGGGATGACACAGTGATTGTCAGATTAGCTGTCACACCGCCTGATTCATCGCTACCAAAAATCAGACATACGACCCACACACAAGTGTCCACCATGATCATTCCCAGATGGCTGATAGAGCGAAATCTAAGCTCGTAACAACTGTTCCGCCACCTGCCACTCATGCCTGCACACTGTCGAGCCAGATTACAGTGGTGCTTGGCTCGATCAGGGTGGAATGATGCTGGCTGGGGACGTATAGTCTTTAGCAACGAATCCTACTGTGTCATGACGATTACCGAAGACGTCTCTGTAAACTCCCAGAGCAGCGTGCCGATCCTGCTTTTACTACTACATGCTACACAGGCCCTCAACCAGGAGTTATAGTCTAGGGTATCATTTTCCTTGATAGCCAGACCCCTTTGGTAATCATTAGAGGCACACTTACAGCATAGCGGTGACATTCTGAGACATTTTGCTACCATTCCTTTTGCAGTACCCTGGCTTTATTTTTCAGCAAGATAATGTCAGATCATATACATCACGTATTGCTATGAACTGTCTCACAGCTTGTCATATACTTTCTTGGCCAGCCAGATCAACAGATCTCTCTCCCATTGTCTGGAATATGATAGGAAAGTGACTGCATCTACCAGTGAATGTTGATGACCTAGCCCGACAACTGGAGTAAATTTGGCAAGAAATACCACAGGAGACCATCTGGGAGCTTAATCAGTCTATGCCACACCGTGTGGAAGCTTGCATCCAGGCAGAGGTGGGTCAACACCTTATTGAGCTCATTACTTTGTAGCTATATAACTCTGAAATAAATTATTCAATTGTTCTGAGGTTTTAAAAAGTTTTCTATTCTGTATCTAATCTTCCTATCCACCAATTTTTGTCTCCATTGGACAACTCCTTGGTGCGTCGATTTTTTGTTATAGAGAGTTGATGCTGTAGCACATCTCATCATTTTTCTGCAAAATTATTGTCAAATTGAATAAAGTCATAGTTTAAAAGAAATAAAAAGTATAATTGGACAAAAAAGTCAAATTTATGAAAAAAATGTAAAAAAATATTTTCAAATAACTAACACAAACTTCAGATATTCACATTGTTGAATTATTCCTACTATTTAAAATGTTGCAACAAAATAAAAATTATAAAAAATACTCATATACTGGCATGTTGAATGCTCAACTCTGAAGATTATAAAACAGAACAAACATTATATAATACATAAACAACATAGTAGAAAATCATAAAAAGAATACAAAAATTTTTAACTTATTACAAACAAAATGTCATTAGTGTAGAACAGTATTGAACAGTATTATTACTTATGGTATATTTCACAGCAGGTCAAACAATATCCTGGTTTGTCTGGACAGTCTCAGCACTCCTATGGAGTGACTGTACATTTGCCTTGAGAGGAACAAGATTAATATCTTTTTCTTTGTATTTTAGTTGTGTCAGGCGGAAGTTCTCTTTTCTCAAGCATATGTTTGAGATTCTTTGGAGTCGGCTTTTGCTCGTCTCTTAATGGCAAAAGTGATTTTATAACATTAAATCGGTAATCGCAAAGTCATATTTTACTTCCAGAATATTCATTATAAAGAACATGCGAATTTATTACAGTTACTTCAATAATATACGAAAGAACAACTTTTTATACCAGTTAGTGCTTTTTTCTATGACAGATAATATGACAGCATTTGATCTTGCAATCTACATCATAAATGTATTATATTTAATGATTGGCAGAGTTCTGCTTTATTTAATTTCTTTTATTTAAAATCTCAACCATTTCATTTTTGAAATGTAGAAATGTAACACACTTTACGTTTATCTTTCCATTTTCTCCTCATTACTCCCTGACAATACCTTTCAACAGTATCGCCTTTTCACAATTTAGTAGTTTGAACATCTTTTGGAGTTTTTTGAAAGTTCTCAATGTACCTGTGCAGTGTTTTTTTTTTTTTTTTTATCTAACAGCAACTTGGCCGAGTCAAAGCTATTATAATAACTGTCCATGAAAACATGGTGACTGACATTTAATATTTTTTTCAGTAAATCCAAAACTATTTTTTGTGTATGGTTTTGCTCTCCATAGTCATCTCATAAACCAATATACACGGCAATGTTTTGCACTATTCAACTTGATGTACTCAAAATATACAGTTTTATACCGTACTTATGTTTTTTATTCTTATGTATTGGTGAAACCATAATTTACCTTGGCACAGGACCACAGATTCACCCAGTTCTCTATTAGGATAATATACCTTGCACATTCTTTCAAAAAAATCCAATTGCTTTTGTGTATTTTGTATAACTTGTATTTTACTTCTCCCGGTCCACTGTTCTTTGCAAAATGCAATGCACGTATAATTAATAAAAACTGATTTTAGCTAATGCTATTTGCAATAGCTGCATTTTGGAATAATGGGTCTTTCTTCCAGTAGTCCAGAAGTCTATTCCTTTGTACGTTCCCCATTTCCAAGAATACTCCAAGAAAAAATGCTATTTGCAATGGCTGCATTATGGAATAATGGGTCCTTCTTCCAGTAATCCTGAAGTCTATTTCTTTTTACATTCTCCATTTGCAAGAATGTTCCAAGAAAAACTAAAAACTCATCCACTTTTTAAATCTTTCAAAAAAGTTATTCGTGACTTTTCTTTCATTTTATATTTATGCTGGATTTCTTTGTATAATTTCTGTTGGCTGTATTAGCAAGGACTCAATTTTTGTAAATGTACGACTTATCATACAACTCGAATCCAATCCAACAACTAGACTGTTCTTTCCGATTGCTGTAAATTGTTGAGTCAATTTTTTATTTAATTTCCTTTTCTTAGGTTGTAAAGGCTCTGCAATACTTGTACTGTCCACCATTTTTAAAAACGGACATAAAAAAAAAAAAAAAAAAAAAAAGATACACAAAATTTAAAAACCACGCACCTAAAATATAAAAATAATGCTTCACTAACATGCCTCAAAAACCTCTTCATTCAACTTTCAAAGCCACACTAAAACTTATCATAATCGATCCGCCGTCTAAGAGCGTCACCAGCATAGGTTGTAGCATGAGGGGGGTGAAATTGCACCTCCCTTAAATGAATGCAACTCTTTTTTTTAAATTCATTTTAAATAGCAAGTTAGTGAAACATTTTCTCTGTTTCTTATATTACTCTTTTAGGTCCCATCCTGTCTTCTGTAGAATCTTAGCTGAACGACTTTAATCTTTTCCCACCTTCAAAGATTTTCACAGCCGGTCATACAAATAAGAACCACCTAGTCTCTGGACATCCTTTTGCTTACATTCATCTTAAATGATATATATAATTAACGGATGTCTGTTTGTAATTCCAAAAGTTTCCTACAAACAAGCATTCCATACAACAAGCATAAGTTGTAATTTTTAGTACCCAGGGGAAGCTGGTGAGAGGCTTCATTGTGAGGATGACATTTGCAACTTCCAGTTCTCCTTCTTGGATTAATGGCAAGGGGAAAGAAAATTGTTGCAAAAATCTTTTCTGATTTGAGTCATTATGATGTTTTAAATTTGAAAAAATACTTAGTGTTAAATAATTAAAGAAACGAACATTATAAAGTACAATAATTCGTTTAATCTGTTCGAAAAACACTTGTACATGGAACAAGGATTAAGGAAGTTTAAAGTGCTCAGGAATTTTATCTACTCTACCACTGACTCATTCGTGTCAAATCATAGTTTCGTTTTCTCTGTCTAAGATCGTTTGCTCCCCCTAGGTCCGATCCTGGCTACACCCATGCGAGGTAGAGCCATGCTGACACGCCAGATCATCTTTTCACACTGGAAGTAATACAAGTTAATATCATAAAACATAGTAAATTTTTCCTGTTTCAAATGAAAAAATTTTATTTTACTGTGAAAGGATGAAAAAAAAATATTTCCATATACAACTGACTCTCAAGTCATATTAATAGATGATTAAAAAGAACAAGTAATAACTAGACAAGATTGAAATTTATTACAAACCAATAATTTATCTTTTGATAATAACTATGCAAAAAGTGTACATACAAACAAAACAACCAACATATACACATACAAAAATAACCACTCATTAAAATCAATTCTTGACTAAGCACAGCATTATCTCTTATTTAAGTAAAAACAATAACATAAAAAAATGCTTTTCATAAATGTATGTGTATCAATCTAACAACGAGTTATGTCACAGTACTTAATAAAAGCCATAACTGTCATTGATGATTTTGCGAACAAAAACGGAAAGAAAAAAAGATGGAAAACCTTAAATGGTTTAAATCTGAATGATCACCCAAAAGAGTTCTTTTAAAGTTTTAATGTGATTTATCAGTAGAGATTTTTGATACAGATGGCTCAGGTGGAATAGCGAAACATTTTAAATATGCACTTAAACTAAGCATGGGAACATTATACATCTTCTGTATATTTGAAAAGTGAAAAAATGTGTAGGAAAATTCTATAAAAAATTTAATGTTTCTAATAAGATATATCATGAACTAAATGCATTTTTATTTAAATCAATCAGATTAAAAAATAAAAAAATAATATTTTTAAGAACTGCATCTATTGTTTTTAAATAGTTTAATTTGTTAATTAATAACAGATATTTAAATATGAAAGAATAATATATTATGTTTTTCTGAATGGCAACAGATTCCTAATGAAAACTGGGGGGGGGGAACACACACACACCTGTATATGGATACTAGTTCTTTTGGGCTTAAAAAAAATAATCTCTCAGTTTCGCTAAGATACCTAACAAAACTACATACCTTTGTAATGCACAGAATTCTTATGAATTGGGCATAGATATAATACATTTAATTAAATTTTCATTTTTTTAAATAAAAGATTTGTTCAAGCCTAATATTCTATATGAGTATTTTTATAAAATTATCTTAAGATTTCTTTTATAAAAATATAAATATAAATATATATATAAATGAAAATAATACTTGTAAAAAACGTTCAAGTCTGCAAGAAGAATGTTCAGGACCAGCACCATCATAGCCATGCGGCAAAAGAATAACTATTCCACTTTGCAGCAGCCATTTTGCTAACAAAATCAAAAATAATATTACTATAAATAATAAAATAAGTTTATTTCTTGTGTAATACTTATAAAAAGCATCTTTTCTTGTTCTTTGAAAAAATGAGAATCAAATATGATACAGTAAACCTTTAGCAAACGTTGTCTCTGCTTAAATTGTCGAACATGAAAATTTCAGTTAAAGGTGGTGCGCTATGTGAAGTGGCAGCTGTATTGTGATAGTCTTCTTTAATGACTCATTTAAAAATTCATTCATTAAAGAATTTTTTTAATTTGAAAATTCATTAAATATTAATTAGTGTACTAAAACCTGACCTTTAAAGTTCTCCTAATTGTCCATAGTGCTCCAGGACACAACATTGCCCTCACAACATTGTAACCAAATGTTCAGGACTTATTCTTTTCATTAAATACCACTTTATTCTAACCAATGGATCAAAGAATCATAAAAGTGTTCAAAGCTTTTTTATGCCAGGCATATTTACATTTTTGTAAATAAAGTATTTCACGAAGGAAAGCACGATACACCAATGGGATTCTGAAAGCAATTCAGCATAGCACACTGCATAGGAATGATTAAACTCACTTGGGAATAAATAAATTCACCAAAAATGAATGCTTACTGGCATCAATGCTCATACGTGAATTCATCAAAAATGAAGGCTTCCTGGCATCAGTGTTGGTTAGAAAATGTCAACAATTTTAAAGGATTTCCATCGATTGAAAATGAAAAATGACCAAGGAATACCAAGACCAAGGAAATTGTACAAATTGCAAAAGCAACAGGCGGTAAAGGATTTTCAGCTATGGAGGAAGTAGAAAATAAAAAATAGTTGAAAATAACAACTGAGAAATGGCAAATGAAGAACTGGATGATCTTATGACACAAGGCTAGGGTAAAAGTAGCTATAGTGAAGATATTAAACGGCCTTTAATGTATAAGAAGTTAAACAAATTGTTAAAAAAAGGTTAGGGACTGTCTGATGTTGCATTGGAAATTGACCCAAATGAAGAAAGAGGAAGACTTTTTTAATGAGAGGTATCGAAAAACTTAAGCACTCCTCATTGTGAAAGATTTAATGAGTTGAATCAGACATTGTTCCAAGCAAAAACCACCAGCTATTTAAAAAATAACTGTATCATGTACTTTTACTAAGAAGTAACAGAAATTCTTTCCATTAACATATTTCATTTTCAACATTTACTTAAAATAACACTTAGGTTTATATAAATTATACATACTTTCTTAATCTGAACTGCATCTAACCTGTTTTTTTCCACAGAGAGTTAATTTTGCGGAATGCAATTTTGCCATATGCACAATGTATCAGTAATGTCGTCCCCCCCCCCCGTTTGGCAAGGGTTTACTGTATTATGATAAATAAAATGAATTCTTTTCTTGTTCTTTGAGAAAATGAGAAAAGTATTTTCCATAATACTGTACTGTAAAAGTATTTAAAAAATAAAAAGCAGCATAAACACTTTAAATATAAAACAATTCACATCATTTCAAAAACAATTATGTACTTAGATTACTAGATGATTAATTAAAAAAATTTATGAAATAAAATGTATAATTAAAAATGATGGCTGAATGCAATAGTTAATAGCTTTAAAAAGTTATTTTGTTTCCATTTAAACATAACTTTTTCCTCTAAAGGACTAAATTGTGACTGTGCATACACTCTCAATCTTTAATTATTTCAAAAGTTTTCTTTTCTCAAATTGATTTCCATCTTTACAGACTACTTTTTAAAACCTGCAAAAAATTTTGTTCATCACCTTCTTCATGTTTTTATTTAAAATACCACTATATATAATGGATATTATACAACAAATAAGTCAGATAATTAGATCTTTCCCTACTTTGACAGACCACTAATTTGACATATTTTATCATGTTATTTCACTTTAAAATAAGCTTTTTTTATTCTTATATTTTTTTAACTTACATTTTTTTCAGCTTTTATTAAAATAAAGTACATTATTAAGCCACTGAAACATTTACAAATGATACTCTTAAATTTCTGCCTTTCAGTGATTAAAATATGCATTTGTAATTTTGATGTATAGTTTTCAAAGACATTCTATTCCAAATTTGTTGAACAACCAAGGAGCACTTGTATCTACTTTTTCATTCTGTATTGCATATGATATTTATCCTATTATAGTCAACCAATATAATATTGTCATTCATACACCAGTTATTATAAATCAATTACACATTAGAAACTTTAGTTTTGAAGATTTTATTATGAAATCAAGAAAAGTAATTTATATCATCTTAAATCATACCTTCTGTCAAATATTTTAAAACTATTTTGAATAATTAATATATAATTTCTAATAAAAAGCATTTTTTTGCTACAGACCTAAGTATGAAGAAGGATTTCATAAATAAAATATTGCAATATTTTACTAATTTGGGCTAAGTCTTGATTTATAAAATGAGTTAAATTTTCTTTTCCTATGTATATTAAAAATATTTAATTTTAATATTATAGTAATAAGTCTGTTAAAATATTGGATTATTTATGAAAATGTAAAAAAAAAAAAAAAAAAAAAAAAGGTTACATTAAATTCTTTGCAACATGATTTGCATGATATTGTAATTGAAAAAAAAAAAAATATTTCCATAAATTCAAAGTAATAGAAAGTTTGATGAAATAGATACAGTAAGTTAGTTGCACAGGAGACTGGGGCCCGAAGCATATATGTCTCTCAGGAGGTCATTTCCTTAAGCTAATTTTCACTAGTTTTGGGAAGTTATAGACTGATTTGGAGACCTCCTAAAATTTGAAATTCTATGCCTGGGCATTATGCATACCAGGCTTTCTTAATGAGTATCTATGAAGGTTCAATTTCTATGCTTGCTTGCAATAGACAGAGGCTTAATGTAAACAGAGGCTATGAGCTGGATGTAATTTTGAAAAATAAAATTACACTTGCAATATGCAGGGGGGGGGAATTGCCTATTCGGACATATTTTATAGATGTATAAAATTAGCAAAGCAACAACCTTGTGTTTGGCATAAATTAGGAACTCTATCAATTTCAAGGGCAAACTGGCACCAGTCCCTCTTCATCGGGGGCAAAGAAATCTGCTAGACGTTTTTGATATTTATAGATGGTTTCACTTACTTTTCTTTATTTGCATTTATTATCTATTCTTTATTTGCATTTATTATCTATTCTTTATTTGCATTTATTATCTATGATCATTTAAAATGTGTTAGTTGGATCTACACTACTTACTGTATTCTAAATTTCCAAGAACAAAGTAATAATGAAGTTCATTTTAAATATCTTGCACATTTAATTTACAGAGGGCGAGCAGCTGAAATGTAGTAATCTAAATAATTATATTTCGGTTACATTATATCAACCAGATTAAATCTATAAATCATGAGTTTCAAATCCTGAATTGTATTTATTTTACTATGATTATAATCCTAGAAGTGATTCATAAATTAACTATATACTCCTTTTTTTTTTTAAATGTACCATCAATAAGTTAGCAGTTCTTTTTTAACGCGTTTCAAAATATAAATTTCTTTCAAAATGCATAATAGTCAGAAGCTGTAATTTCATGCACAAAAATAATATCTGTCAAAGTTACATGGTTGCATATAATAGCATAAATTTCCTCTATACAGTCTCTTAAAAATATATCTTTTCCCTTGTTTTCTTCAAAGATTTAGAAATAGCTGTTCTACAGATTATTAAAATAAAAAGTAAAGGAAAATATTATATGAAACAAGATTATAAATGCTCTGCATTTAAATACAGCATACCTTGAACAGCTGTTGAAAATGTGATAACTGCATATTAGCTGGCATCTGCTGATACATTAACACACTAATACATCATTCTGCTTTTCTATTGCGACAACTTAAGACAACTGTTCTGAATTGTTCTAGAAAGATGAAATTTCCTATTTTCTTTTCTTCTTTTTTCCCTCTTTTCTTTCTTTATTCTTTTATTTATTGATTCACATATATATATATATATATTTATATCCAAACTAACAGATGGCAGGGAAGGTTTCTTCCTTCTATTTTATGCTAACTTCACACCAATCAGATGATCTCTAACTTGAACATTTTATTCAACCACCATTACGCTTGTTCTTACATACATGGCATATCAGAATGGGTCCCAAAACTAACAAAAGAAAATGGGTGCCTTCTAAAGTAAACCCTTCAGAACCATACTATGCCATGATGCTTTAGTCTACAATGATATCTGATATAATTTATGGCATTACTGTGTAATTATAGCTCTGTAGGAATAACTTAATAATGAAATGGAAGCTATTCAAATTTTCTAAGATAATGTCACACCTTCGAACATTTGAGAATGCACCTTTTGTCATAAAACAAAATTGCACTTATACATAGCAAAAGGCAGCATTTAAAGAAAAGCAACATCGATAACTGTAGACAAATTGTGGGAATGAATAATTGAATCTCAGCATATGATTTAGTAGCCAACCATACAATTCAGTTATAACTACTAGAACCTAACATATATTAAGCTCAATGAAGGACTACAGATGCCGGATAGAACAATAACACATTGAAATAATTACTTAAGACAAATATATGTACTTGAGATGAAGGGGGAACCATGCTGAGCCTGGTTCATGGTGAAATGCTGGCGCATTTTCCAGATTAATGATAAGAAACGATTAGTATCACCAAGGAGAGAAATGGCGTAAGTCACCAAAGAAAGCCATATGGTATCAATTAATATGCAAATATAGGGAAAATTAATTTTAATTATAACAAAGAGTAATTTCTTCTCCTTCCTAAAAACTGCAATGGTATATTGTAAACTGACAAAAGTACATTCAAAATCAATTACCTCATATTTTTTTAATTTAAAATAAAAATAATATTTCAGTCAAGAAACTGTAAAGACATAACTTACTTTCGCCAGATGAGATGCAAGTATCAAAAACAACCTGAGCAGAATTAAAAAAATCGCCAAACTGTGCTTCCCAGATTACTAAATTATTCAAGTTTTCTATGCTAAAACCATATTCAAAACCAAGAACACCTTCTTCAGATAAAATACTATTTGAAACCTGAAAATTTTATTGCATTTAAATTTTTTTAAATTGCTAATTAATTCACACAAAAAAAAGGATATTAATAATTAAATCAGGAGATAGACAGATTTAAACATGCAATAACACATTATACAATGCAAATTCTTTCAAGATCAGTTAAATATTACATCGAAAAAGTCCAATTAATAATTATATTCTCAGCTACTGCAAATTAGTGTGTCTTACACTTTTCTCACGCTAGTCTGAAAACTAAACCTAAATGAATGAATGCAAAAATGCAAAATGAATTTTTTTCTCTTATAAATGAATTTCAGTGTCATATAATATACTTTTAAAACCTGCTGCAGGAACAGCATCTGAAGTAGACATATCTATATATATATATATATATATAAAGCAAAACCAAACAAATAAACATAAAATTTTACATCAAATTAGATTATGACAAAATATGTTTAAACAAGGGAAAAATAGTGATATTTTTCTGATTCCTAACATTTTCCAGTAGTTTAAAGAATTGAATATCTGAGAAATTGCAATGATAAACAAAAACATAAGCTTTATGCTAAGAATCAAGTTTAAAAAAATTACCAAATTTTACTTTCTCATTGATAAGTTTCACGAAGACTCACTGAAAATTTTATCTAAATAAGAAAAGCTGCTATTCAGTGCATTTTCTGAGAAATAAAAGTTTCATTCTTGTCCGTTTCCAAAATGATAAAGGGTACAACATTGCAGAATTGATCAAGTCTGTACACAGTGACATAGTTTTATTTTAAAAACTACTGTAGTTAATATATAAATACGGAATTTTCAGTATAAGCCAAGTCCTGTAATAGGTTTGGCTAAGTGTAGAGGCTCTGGACCAAAATGAAAGGAAATGTCACATATCAAGATCATACTCATTACAATTTATACTTTCTTAGCTATTACTCACACACACAACCCCCTCCCTCCTAAAATAAGAGATAAGAGGGAGTGTTCAGAAATTTTACTTTTTTAATTTACTTTAATATTTTTTAAATTTTACTAAGGTTTTAAAATATGGTCACATTCAAGAATTTGTAAGATTTGCTTACAGTAACTTACAAGAAAACATGTGACAACATTTTCATTACATGAATTGTGTTATTGGTTGGTGTCCATCCACATGTTCTTTTACCTCCAAAGGAATTATTATGCCCCATCACCTCCTCAGTTTACCATAATTGTCTCTGTTGAGCAAACTAAACTAAAAGTCACCTGGCAAATGATAACTGTCAAGACAATATTTAGATTCAAGTGAGTTTTTCCATGATGTTCTAAAGAAAGATCATCAAGAGTGTTTTGAAGAGTTTTATGCACATTTTCAAATAAATGTACTGATACAAAGGCATGTATCTTGAATTCATACTTTGGATAACATACATACTACTTGTATATATACTATACTGTCAAGAAGCAAAGTTTTGATAACACTATTGACAGTCAGTCAAGCATCAGAAAAGTGTCAAATGAATTTTTGTGTGTATTGCTATTTAAAATTTGCGCAGCAACAAAAATAAATCAAATCACTCTATTTTCATATACATTTGCTAATTAGTAATTCAATTTTAATATCATAAAATACAAAAAGGGGGGGGACTTTCAAAACTGATATTTTCTTGGGTAGCAAAGCTCATGTGACACTGATTACATTAGAAACATTAGAAATCATGTTTTTTTAAAATACCTCAAGCTCTCCTTAGTAAAACTGAGAAACAATAAAAGGAGAATACTTCGTTAAAATTATTATCTGCACTTCTTTACTCATAAAACTGGAGAAATTTGGAAGAAAAAAAGGAAGTAAAAGAGGTGTTAAAAATGCAAGCATTAGAAAATTCACTAGTGAAAAAGATCCAAGAAGAAAATATATAACACGGGGGGAAAAAATAACACATCAGTGCAAGATAAACATACCAAAGTAAAAATTTAATATTAGGCAAAAAAGCAACCTTAGTTAGTTTTGAAGGTGATTTAAGCAGTCTTTAGTTGACAGCAGTAATTCCAATCCAGTTTTCCCAAATGCTTTCAGAATTCTTAGTTTTTAATGTTTCTTTACTATTTTCCTTGTCAGATAGTATTACACTTGTACTTGCTTTGTTCCATCCATTGCTTTCAGTATAAAATCTTTCACTGCTCTTCTCTTTATATATATAACAATAAATAAATAAATAAAAATCTGCCCCTTTCCCTTTTGAAAAAGTGGGATGAAAGTGCCTTTGATTAAGTTCCAGCATATCACTGAACACTTTTGCCTCTGAGCAAAGTCATGGATAACAGTGTCCTTAACAATCTAAACAGCATTACAACTCATTCTTTTGGAGTAACCATTACTGCCCCTGATATGACACAGGAAATTTCTTAACCTGATGACCCAAATAGACTGCAAGATGGATATGAATATTACAAATATACTGTCATTAGACTTCCTAAGCACCAGCTCCCTGGGTAACCAAATCATAAGTAGGTTATTATCAGTAATGAAGACAGTCAAGGAGCATCTGGAGTTCAGCTAGGATGAGTATAAAGATTTTGTTAAAACAGGCTTTGCCATCCCTAACCCAGTCCAGAATAAACTATCATAAAAGCTCCTAATTCAAACACAAAAGTGAACAAAAAATAAGTGACTGTGTTAGCAAACCTAACTCAGATAAAATCATTGATACTAATCCCGATTTTGAGGACTGCACAACCAAAGAAATTAAAACAAGATTTAAAGCCCTAACTGACTAACCAAGCATGGTAATTAATTATAGCTCAGCTCATTGCAGGAAAGAGCACAACCTCAGTTACAAGTAACCAGTAAATATTCTTCCAATCAATGATTAAACCTACTGATACTTGCATATGGATAAGAGTGCTTTGAAGAACCTCTGGCATTTGACACCAATTCCTAGGCTGCCATAATGATGAATTTATCAAGATGCTGTCTGCCACTGACACTGACCACTCTAAACTTATTACCCTGTTTAGGAAAAAATCCACTTACCAAATTCTGAACACTATGTAATTAACCTTAGAGTTAGGCACCTCATAAAAATTATTCTTAGCTGTTTATAGTTACATCAAACAGAATCAATAGCCAGTCTATTAAAACACAAAGGATTTTCTTCTAGAAAGTACTACAGTTAACAAAAAATCTAAGGCTCCTAGATCATTAGTCCAGATAATTAATCCTTATTTCAGAACTAGAAAAAATAGTAGCCACATATCTATTATCCCAACTGTCACCAATAAGGTGACCATTGTCCCAGATATTCAAAGGCAGTCCCAAATTCTAGCTCTATAGTCTGCATGGACACATGCTCTGGAAAATATCCCAGAATTAACACTTTGTTTAAAGATTCATCAAAATAAATTTAGTTTCTATAATATTTCTACAAACAGATCATATTATGTTGTAAGCCTTGCACTGGCAGCATTGGGCATATACGAGGGCTATCCAGAAAGTAGATTACGTTTTGGAATAAAAAAATAAACAAAGTATAGGAAACAAATTTTATTATATACAGATGAAAGCCACACTCAAATACTACTTTTCTACATAGTCACCATACAAATTAAGGCATTTATCGTAGCGATGTACGAGCTTGGAAATTCCTTCATCGAAAAATTCGGCCGCCTGCGCCTTCAACCACTTCGTTACCTCTTCTTGCAGCTGTGTGTCGTCATCAAAACGCTGCATAGCCAGCCACTTCTTCATTGCTGGGAATAGGTGGAAGTCGCTCGGTGCCAGGTCGGGACTGTACGGCGGATGAGGAAACAACTCCCACTTAAAAGATTCAAGAACTTTACGAGTGACATTTGCCGTGTGGGGCCGGGCGTTGTCGTGAATCAACAAGATCTTAGAGCTCAACATTCCTCTGCGCTTGTTTTTGAATTGCTCTTCTGAGTTTTTGGAGAGTTTGGCAATACCTTTGAGAGATTTTATGTAGTGCCTCTTTCCAGGAAGTCCACCAAAATTACACCTTTTCTGTCCCAAAAAACAGTCGCCATCATCTTCCTTGCCGACATTGTTTGCATGCATTTCTTGGGTTTTTGGGGAGAACTTGTGTGCCCCCACTGCATTGATTGCAATTTCGTTTCACAGTTCACATGTTTCATCCATGTTTCGTCACCAGTAACGATGCAATCAAGTAAAGAGTCACCATCCTTATGGTAAGCGTCCAAAAAGTTCAACGCTGCAGCCATTCGCTGATTTTTGTGGTCCTCTGTCAAGATTTTTGGAATCCATCTTGCACAAAATTTGTGGTAACCAAGCTTTTCGCTGATGATTTCGTGCAACAAACTTCGCGAAATTGTGGTGAAAACTCAAAGAAAGTTCCGTTATTGTGAAATTTCGATTTTCACGGACTTTAGCATCGACTTTTTCGAAAGAAGTTCGGCGGTCACTATGCTGGGTCTCCCACTTCGATCTTCGTCGTTGAACATTGGTTCGGCCATTTTGAAATCTTATGACCCACTGACGCACTCCACCTTCAGTGATAATGTTGTCCCCATACACTTCACGAAGCCGCCGATAGATTTCTATCGGTTTACAGTTTTTTGCAGTCAGAAACCTTATTACTGAGCGCACCTCGCAGCTCGCGGGATTTTCAATTAACGCAGACATTTCAAACCGTCACAGTATCTGAACGGAGCACAGCACGAACCTCTCACTAGCACGGCTAGATGCAGACTGAGCTGCGCAACGCTCTGACCCCAAGATGGCCGCGCTAGCCCCGCCCCTAGCGGACACAGACGGAAACGTAATCTACTTCCTGGATGGCCCTCGTAATAATATGCCATATGAAGCACATTTTAAAGTAAAAGGTGTCCCAAAATTAATGCAAGTTTTGAATTTGGCGCTATTTTTGCATTAAGTTGTTGACAACCCTGAAAAAAGAACAGTTTGACAGCCGAGAGTTTAGGGTTAGTGAAAATGGAGCGTTAGAGGACACAACAATGTGTCTTCATTATTAAACAATATTTTAAAAATAATGAAAGTTTGGCAG